TTTTATATGGCATGCGACATAACACAGCGGTTACGACACGTTTAAAAATCCGTTTTTACCAGTGTTTACCTGTTTTTTATAGTTGTATTGATTGGTACTATTTGATTTTGTTTCGAGTAAATTTATTTAAATATATTATCAATATGATTGACATCGATATTTTAATTACCGAAGTTGAGAAGGAAGAATGTCTGTGGAACATCAATAGTAGTAATTATATGGACAACCACTGCAAAACTAAGGCCTGGATAAATGTAGCCAGTGTTGTATTCCAAAATTGGGATACATTTTCAAGCAAGGAGCAAGAATCTTATGGTAAGCATATTGCATAATATTAATTTTTATATTTCTATAGTAATATTATAATTTCTATAATAATATTTATTATGTATAATATATATTATTTAAAATGATTAAATGATATTATTTTAAAATAATAAGTAGGTACTTAATATTATGAATGGCTGACACAAATATTTTAAATTTAAAAGAACAGGCTGCTTCATGTCGATAACGTGTTGATACCGGCGTCGAACGTGTATTAACAATAGTATGTTCGCCAGAATGTATTCTATTCTTATAATTCATAATAATTGATGAAATTAGTACGGTCACTTTTATTATTTATATTTATAGTACCTAGTTGTATTTAAAAGTACAAAAAAATTATACAAATCTATATTGAAACGGAACTGCCCCTGCTTCCATAAAATATTCAGCAAAATATTCTCGAACATCTAAGCCTTGTTGACGAGCTCCGAATTATTTTCATTTTGAATGTCTTCCAAAGAGTTTGAGAGTGTGTTTTCAAAGTTATTACCATCCCTTCGTCTAACATAATTGTGTAAAATACAGCATGCTTTTCGTCGTCTGAAAAATCTGGTTCAACTAGGACAGCACTATGTAGAACACGCCATTTATTTGCGAGGATTCTAAAACGAACCTTCGAGCTCTTGACAGATAAATGATATACAGGGTGTTGCACGATAAATGTGTCAAACTTCTAGAGGTGTTTCTACACCTTAAATGGAACAAAAAAAGTCCTTGTGACCATAGTCGAATTATCAATAATAAGGGTAATAATTTCCATTTTTGTGTTTTTTTGTTAAACGCAAGTTTGATTCATAATAATGTTCATATCTGCTAAACCGTAGGTACTACAATTAAATTGAATACATCGATGAAAAGCTCATAAATTTGGGATTAGGAAGACATATCTTACAAGATTCCCACATGATTTTTTGGGTAAAAAAAATAACACACATTTTTATAACTTTAAAATGTCGAAATTTAAAAAAAAAATCAATTTTATCAAACAACAATTTTTTTTTAAAGCAGGTGGGTGCAAATTTCAAAAAAACTTCAAAATGTTATAAGCTTTTCAACAGTGTACTCGATTTTTTCGTTAAACCTCTCTGAAGGGCCGCTATTCCACCTAACGTGTGGAAAAACCGGGAAAACGTAAATAAATTCTAAGCAATAAATACAAAACCTGGTAAACTGATTTTCTTAAATTTATTACAATTTTAAAAATGTTTTTACAAGAGATTCAAAATAAGTTTGTTCATCTACATTTATTGTAAAAGCTGTTCAATGTGTCCACCGTTTTGCCTCAAACAAGCACGTGCTCTCTCACGTACTTGCCTTCCAGTTACTCCTGCCGTCACCACTCTCCGCATTTCAATAGCTGCTTGAAGAATTCTCTGCCTTAGTTCTGCTTCAGAATCGACTTCCTGATGGTAGACTCGTTCTTTAAGGTAACCCCAAACAAAAAAATCCATAGGAGTTAGGTCTGGGGACCTTGGAGGCCATGGAATTGTGCCTCCTCTACCGATCCAACAAGTAAATGTTTCGTCCAAGTGCTGTCTCACTGCTCTAGAGAAATGTGGCGGGGCCCCATCATGTTGGTAAATCATGCGTCTTCTGACTTCTAAAGGTAAATCCTCAAGCAATCCAGGTAGTTCATTTTGAAGAAAATTTAGATATGAATTTCCACCTACCGTCCGAGGAAGTCCTAAAAATGGACCAATAAACACGCCACCGATAATGCCCATCCACACATTGATTGAAAATCTGCGTTGGAATCTTTGTTGACGTACTAAGCGTGGATTTTCCTGAGCATAGTGATGACTGTTATGAACGTTAAATACGCCTTCTCTTGTAAATGTACTCTCATCTGTCCACATAATACTTTGGAAAAAACCACGATCCTCAACTTCATTATGAAGTAGCCATCTACAGAACTTTACACGTTGTTGATGGTCTGCGTTCTCTAAGCCATGAACTCTTAAAAAATGGTATGGATGTAAGCCTTCTCTATTAATAGTTCTCCATACAGTAGAATGATGAACTCCAAATTGACGAGCAAGCGTACGAGTACTAGTTTCTGGATCTCTGTTGACTTCGTCCAAGATTTCTCTCTCCAAATCTACATTTTGTACACCTTCCCTCAAAGACCGTCGAAAAGTACCTCGCTCCCTCAAAGCTTGGTGGATTCTGCTGAACATGGCTGGGGCAGGAACACGCCGATGTGGAAAACGATTTTCGTACTCTCTTTGAGAGGCTCGAGTATTCCCATTACACAAACCATAAATAAAATTCATGTCTGCAAGTTCGGTATTTGAATAAGAAGGCATGACGAATAATACAAACTCAACACATGAACTTCTTGTAATGAGCCGTATTTAAATCATGTTATCGATTTTGAGACTAATTAAGATTCTAAAAATGACTACGAAAAATTAAAATAACTACGTATTGAAATCAAATAACTAGAATTGTTATCCAGAGCTTTAAATAAAGGTACTAAATGACTATTTAATGACTTAATCGACCTCACCATAGTACAATTAAGAAAATAATAATTACTACGAAAATAAATAGCGATATTGTTAATCGGCCGATTTAAGTAAAAACATACTAAAGCGATTTAATCAGTTGTTTATTTTCCGCACATTAGGTGACATCAGAAAGGTGACATCAGAAAGGTTTAACGAAAAAATCGAGTACACTGTAAAAAAGCTTATAACATTTTGAAGTTTTTTTGAAATTTGCACCCACCTGCCTTAAAAAAATTGATGCTGGATGAAACTGAAATTTTTTAAAATTTCGACATTTTAAAGTTATAAAAAATGAGTGTTACTGTATTATATAAATTGTAAAATTTTTTTTTTTTAAATGTTACGATAAGATGCGATCCGCGGTTTGGCCACCCCTGATATAGAGGATACACATCAGAATACACATCAGATGTACCAGAGCCGTCAAGACCGAGCGAGCTGCTTATGCACCGGCCATTACACATAACATAAACGGAGATTATCAACTACTACAACGAGTCAATTCACGCTACTACAAATTACCACGACTATATTGCTTATTATTTGGTTTTAATAAAACTACATTTGATTGCTATTCTAAATTGACTATTGTTTATTACAAAAGTATATCAGCTTTTGGATTCCTGAAGGGCAGCACGTAACACCATGATGTACACATATGGAACAATAGCAATGTTTTGCCTATACTCCAAGAGTTAAATAGACAAAATTATAACAATTTTTAATTATTAGGTAAAATAATATTTCTACTTTTATAACTTAATCAAATATTGTGCATAAACCTGTTAGAAAATCATATGGTATAAATTTGTTATGTCATCTAAAAACAATAAACAAAATAAGTATTATACAATTTTTAATGCTTCAAGAAAATTTAAAAATAATTTTTGACATAAAATTGAATAATATAAAAATATGTATGAATATACGTCTTATTTAAAAAAAAAAAAAAAAGAAATGCGATATTATTTTCTTGTAAGATATTCTTGCATATTGAGTGGTAGACAAGTGTTTGGATTGTTCTGCACTTGTTCAATGTTACTCAAATTTAGCACACCATAAGGCACACTTAGGTACTCCTGGTAATGTTTGTGTATGTTCGAAGTTATCTGAATGTATGAACATGGGTGAATTTAAAACTGAACTAGATTCAGAACAGTATGATGATACACTTGGTGGACACGAAAACCATCTATGTTACGGGGAGTATAAGGCCAGACCCCTCGGTGGTTTTTCAACCCTTAACCATATCTCGCGAGGGCGGCTCCTTCACGCTTTTGTGACGCGGTCGCATCCCTCCGGGTTAGATCGAGTTGGGCGCCCAGGCGCCAGACAATCGATCCCCCGGCAGCCCGTTATGGACTGATCGGTGGGTCTCCACGGCCCGCGTCAGCGAGTGCTGGATTTGACCCCAAGCAAATTCCTCCCCTTCTACTAAGGCGTTACTCCCACAGCCACCGCGAGGCCGTCCACATAGTCACGGGCGCGCGAGCAGCGGGCGCGGACACGCTGGGTATCCGCGCACGCTGGTCGCGCGTGCGTCACATCTTGCTAGCTGGGGCGTTGCTACCGTTCGGGCATTTGCTGCATTGTCGGGTTCGCAACGGGGCTCTCCCCAACTCCCGCGGCATGGGTTTTTAGGCTCCACGTAGCCACCATACCCACTGGAAATGGTTTTCCCGCTTGCATCATCGTCGGAACGGGAGTACCGCCGCGACTTGATCTTATTGAAGCGGTACGGTTTTCATTTACGGATGCCGTGTCCGTACCGGCGGTTGCCGGATTTGGTGCATTTTTGAAAGATTGATCCCCGGTCGATCTTCTTTCCGCACGTGTCCACTCACTGGATTGACCGGGTCCATGAGTTCTCGGCAGAGTTGGGCGGTGAATATACCGGCATGTGGACGGAGCTCCGCGGGATAGGTTATTCGAGGTACCTCCCCGCGGTTACTATGAATCCGGCCCTTCCGTTATATTTCAGCGCTTAATATCCCCTGCCGGTGTTTCGCAGGGCTTTTTCACGACGCCGCTTCCGTCGCTGTCGCCCCACTCGGGTGATTTTATCTCATGCGGAGTACAGTGGGGTTATGATCCTCTTCCCCCAGGCCCGTGGCCCCGTGTCGGAATCTTACTTTAACGCCGATTCACGTCTGTCTGAGTTCACCCTTCATCAGTGCGGCACAGTGTCGCATGTGCGAACCGTTTTACCGCCTGGAACATGACGTCGGATCTCGTCATGAACTCGGGATCGCACGGCCAGTCCGCACCGGCCGCTCGTACTACGACCGCGAGTTTCTCTCTTTCTTGGCTCGAGAGTGGGCATTCGTACAGCAGATGCTCGGCGGTCGGTTGTGGCGACCCGCATCGGCAAACTGCATCACCTCTCAGGTTTAACTCGTGGAGTTTCGCGTTAAAGTCCCCGTGGCCCGACATGAGCTGGGACGTGTAATGATCCATGATGCACCATACTCGCTCCAGTCTCGCGCGGACGTCCGGGAACCAAGTGAAAGTCCACCTTCCCTTTTCATGGGTGACCCATGCTCTCTGCCAAAGGTCTATGGTCTCAGCCGAGTAACGCATCTGATTATTATTGGCTTCTATAGCTGTTATTCTGCCATTTCTTACCGCGAGCCTGTCCACTTCGACCTTCGCCAGCTCTTTTAATTTAAGGTCCAAAGGGGGAACTCCGGCTAGCACTTGCAGTTACACTGTGGACGTGGTCTTATAAGCTCCGGTTATCGCTCGAAGCGGGAGTCTCTGTGCAGAGTTCGCCCTGCTCCGGTGCTTGGCCAGGGACATGCAGCCCGAGACCCACACCGAGGCCGCGTAACTCATCTGCGGCAGAAACACCGATTTGTATATTCGCAGAGGTGCACCCTGTTTGAGCCCCCATTTGGTCTTAGCGACGCCGTGCAGTCTGCCAAAGAGGGCTTGCGTGGATTTAGCTTTCTCCGCCAGGTGGTGGCTGAATTTTCCGCCTCTGTCGAACGTAACACCGAGGTATTTCGCCGACTCGGTGGGTTTTATTCGAGCCTCCCCAAGCCGCAGGACAAGTGGCTTAGAGAGCGAGCCTTTAAACCAGAAGATCTGCGACTTGGCCGCGGAGAAGGTCAGTTTTCGCTGGCTCGCCCAAGTCGAAGCTCTTGCGAGGAGGGCGTTTGTCCTCTCAGTCAGTTCGGTTCGATTCATTCCTGAGATGAGAATAGCAAGATCGTCCGCATACGCGATCAGTTCGGTACCTCTCGGCAGCTCTTCCGATAGCAGCGGGTTCACCGCATACTTCCATAGGTCCGGTCCGTACTCGCTCCCCTGGGGGCAGCCTTTGGAAAGATGTCTGTTAAAGACTTGGTCGCCAATTTTCATCTCCGTTTGGCGACCCTCGAGGTAACTCTTTGTAAGTTCGATCAGTTCGCTAGTGCAACCCGCAAATTGCATGTCTTTCACCAACTGTGGCCACCATAGGCAGTCGAAGGCACCCGAGATGTCTAGGAAGACGGCGTGGACATACTTCTCGTGTCTCGACTTTGACCAGTCGAGGGCGTGCTGGATTGCGTCGACCGTGGAGAGGTTCTGTGTGAAGCCAAATTGTCTTTTTGACATGGCCCCTTGCGTAGCCTGTCTAATTCGGTCCACTATTACGTGTTCCAGGGCTTTTGATAGCACGGGTAGGAGGCTTATTGGACGGTACGACTTCGCTTCGGATGGGTCTTTATCTGGCGATTTTTTTATCACAACCAGCCTGGCTTTTTTCCAGGTACTTGGAAACTTTTTTGCCCGAAGGCAGTTATTGAATATATGCGTTATATCGTTCGCAAGTGCCGGCCATGCCTGTCAGAGGATCTTTGCCGTTATTCCGTCCAAGCCTGGGGACTTGTTCGGTGCCATCCGCCAAATGGCCCTCTTTACTTCCACGGTCTCACAGTGCTGTATTTCCCCTAGCTCGTCTGTTACTTGCCTGAAGGAGCCGATCTCTATCCCCGTTTCCGTCCTAGCCGCCATTTGCTCAGGACTCTCGTTATCATAACTGTCGTCGGGGACTAGAGATTCCATTAGCCTCTCCCCAGTCTCTCTCAGAGACTTGGTGAACGAGCCATCCGGCTTTCGGATTGCTGCTGGAATACACTCCGAGGGACGTATGCCACCAGCTTTCAGCCATTTGAAGACTGGACCCCAGGGTTCAGCGTTCCCTGTCTCGGTAACGAACTTCCGCCAGGCTTCTCTCCTGGCCCGGAAGCAGTTCCGTTTATGGGTTTTCTTAAGCTTTCTGAACTTGGCACGAATTGCCCTTCTCGTGAACGCTTCTCTCGCGTTTCGGAGCTTTTTCTTCCAGCGACCGAGGGTGGTCAATTCTCGGCCGAGGTTTTCGTTCAACCATGGGGGAGGTCTATGTCTGGGTTCTCTTCCCATTTTCATGTGCCTTTCGCACGACTCCTTCAGTACCGCCGAGAGCGCTATGACGCTTTTCCAGCTATGATTCCAGCTCGTATTTCCGTGCCTCTCGACTGCTGGCCAAGGACTTGCGGAATTCAGTCCAGCTCGTTTTACTCCAATTGTATCTAAGTGTGCTTCCCCGATCGGCCGTGTCCGTATCGTTGCCCGTGGCCACTTTAAAGCTTATGAGAGCGTGATCGCTCGTCGTCAGATCGTGATCGGCCCGCCAATCCGTCACTCTGACGCTGTTCGTCGTTAGTGTTATATCAAGACACGCCGTGCCTCTATTTCTGAATGTCGGCGCCCCTGGTTTGTTTTGCAGCGCTAGGCTTCTCCGACTTATAAAGTTTACGACGACGTCACCTCGAGTGTCCGTAACTCTATCGTACCCAACCGTTGACCTCGCGTTCACGTCCGCACACACAATCACGCCGCCACCCAGTCCATCCAGTACGGAGTCCAGGGCGTCGACGCAGTCCTGCGTGGCTTCCGAGAACTGGAAGTAGGAGGATACTAGCGTAAGCCGTGTATCCCCCGTTTCGATTGTTGCGACCGCATTGTGAGAGGTACACAGATAGGTCACATAGGTCTGCCGCCGTTAGCTATCACCCTGAAGGGATGCCTATCCAGTAGGTAGATTCCTTTGCCATCCGTCGCAGGTTCTTGTATTAGACAGACATCGAATTGCTCTCTCACCAATAATTGCTCGATTTCGTGCATCACGGCCTTCGACCGCGCCGCATTTATCTGTGCTACTTTAATTGGCTTCTCAGTATGGTTCGCAACTGCAAGCCCGCTGGAGTCAGAGTTGATTATACAGTCTTCTGACTCAGCTGTTCCTTGCATATTCTGACTCTCGCTTTGAGCGTGTCTATTTTCAAAGCCGTCTGATTCGTTACTCTGGCTTTCGACCAATTCACCTAGGCCAGGTGAGTTCTGTCCGAGGGTCCTGCCCTCATCTGCGGATCTTTGTTTCAGGAGCCGCTCTCTCCTAGGCTTTTTCCTCCCTTTCCTCCAAAACCCGCCCTTACGGCGGGCCGGTGCAGTCGACACGGTGGCATCGACCATAGTGACGCCAGCGTCCCGACCGGGAAGGGGGTTTTCTGTCGACGGGCCGCACAGCTCCGTCCTAGAACTAGGTTCTATGCACAATGGCGGCGGGACCCCGCAATCCGATCTCCCGCCTTCTGAATCACAATTCATCGGGGTGGCTTTTATCTGTACCGTTGTGTTCATAGCTTAGTTCATCTGTACTAAAACTGCGGTCGACTAACTCCGCAGAGTTCCCGCCATATCACCGGGCGGGACCGGTTCGGAGATGCGCCCTCCGCCGGCGTCAAGAACTTGGGGCGGGGAATTGCCCGAGGCCGGGCGAGAGGTCTTGCAACCTGCCGCCCTTCCCCAGTCCCGCAAACCACGCGGGACTCGTCAGTCGCGGCCTTGATTCCGCGACCCACTTTCGCCCGCCAACGGTCCCGTGCGACCGGAGGCGAGCTGATCCGATGGGCGCCCAAGGGCACGGCCTTATGCGGGCGCCCACCGCTTCCTGCGTTACTCCGAGGCCTTACGTAACCTAGTATTATTTCTAAGTTTACTGAGACTCGCCACCCTTAGGAAGAATAGGTGGTGCGGACTGCCTCGGGGGTCATAGGCTTTCCCGGTTTTTATTTGCTATTATTTTACCGGGCGCACGCCCCTATGCGGCCTGCCCCGAAAGGTCTCGCAGTTTCGATCCTTTAGATCTGAAGCTGGTAAGCGCGCTTCGTTAAGGTTACTCGACATCGGCAGCCCCCAACGCCGGGACCAGCCAGCAAGTCTGACGACGTGGCCTTTCCCGACGCGAACGCCACCGACTCGCGTCGTATTACCCGAACTGGTCCCCGCGGCAGACCCCAGGCGCGACACAGAGGGGTCGCCGTATGCTCGAAGGCCTTACGGCGACATCCGCGGCGCCCCCAGAGCGTACCACGGGAAGGCTCGTCTAATATACCTTCCCAAGTAATTTACTAGCGGTTCCTCGGGCGACCGAGGCCAGCCCGCCCCGACGCACCCCCGAGACCCAGGTCCGACGGGCGCTGCCGGATTTTCGAGGTGGGTTTGCGCCACCGGTAGCCTGCCTCGGGGAGCCGCGGGTACATCGGCTCGGTGGTCCGGGCCTGCGCGACGAGCCCCAAGCCAGCACTCCGCCGCCCTCGGAGTGCGCGTTCGTCACTTGGTGTTGGCATCGGTCAAGGGTCCGCGGCTAGGACGGCGCACCGTGCCGCCGCCTCCGTCTTTCCGATAGTTTCTTTAACCAGTCCAACTTCAACGATGGCCCAGCCAACCGACCCGCACCGTTTCACCTGAGCGATGCTAAGATGCTAACCAGCGCGCCAGGCGTTATGTGGACAACGACTGACTTCCACCTACGGCGGTCTAAGTCTTACGGCAGCAAATTGTGATTTGACTACGAACCAGGTTCGCGGGTCTATGACCATTGCGTTCAACGCTCACCGGGGCCCCCGACTATCTTTTTCCCCTCGAGGTCACAGGCGTCTCGAATCAGCTTAGAGTCGTTCAGCTGATTGCGGGTTCTTACAGACGGGTGCGGCGCGTCCCCAGTTCGCTTCCTTGATAGCTTAACCAGACCCCTTCCCCAAGGTATGCCCAGTCGTCTCTGTCCACACCTCGGTCCAGGTCTGCGCCAGCCACTCTCTTTTGCTATCTGACTGCCCCTTAAGGCAGCTCTCAGAGGGTCCATCTGGGCTGGGAACGGTTCACAACTTCGTTCCCGCCCCGAAGGACTCCGTATTGCGATCGATGGGTGTTCGTCCCGGCAGAACAGGTAGCGTTCCCCGGGCGAGTTCACCCGTGAGCAGGGGCTCCGGGTCGTGTCCATCTTTCGGTCCGACTCGATTTTCGTAATATCTGTAAGCCGTTCCTAATCAACAGACCTGGCCCAGGAGTCCATTTCTCACGGGGGCAGTACGACGAGCCGGCGCACCAGCACCCCAGTCCCCGTTCGAATGTCCCGTATGATTACCACGTTCTGTGGCTACCGAATAATCGGATACGGGGCGTCCGTCGATTTTGTCCCTACATCATAGCGGCTCCTGAGACGATGCCGGAGCGATCGTAACAGGGAACCCAGAGGTCTCGGAACTTTTCCATCAGCGCGCTAGTATTGGCGTATCGACGGCCGCTCACTTCCACATACCATGCTCCTGAGAGATTTACGTATATACGTGGCATTTGAGAACATATGGACCGGTATGCCCGGCCGTCCGGACCGTCTTACTGGCCCCCATCCCGAGTTATGAGTCGGGGGTTCCCCCCTTGTCCGTGATCGAGTCGTCTCAACCGCGGAGAAGTCGGGGTGATTGAGTATTTGCTACGTAGATCCATCACGCCCTGTGCGGTCGACTGGGCACGCGATCCCCGAGGGTCTTGAAAGAAGGAGCCCCGCCACGGGCGTGCTCCATACGACGTCTTCTGATTCCCGGACAACATCGTTTAAGCCGGACACGCTAGCCCCGGGACTCTACCGGTCGGGTAGGAGGTCCACCACGGGCGTGCCCGGCAAACCCGGGCGAGACTTGAGTGCTCGCCAGACGGGCTCGCGATCCCCGGGGGTGCGCATCACCCCGCCACGGGCGAGCTCCGCCTTATGCTGTCCAGGTTTCGGCACAGGCGTATGTCCACCGATCCGCCACGCCCAGCCCAGACGACTCGGGTGGAAAATATGCTTTAATGCGTGTTATACTGACATTCGCCGCCGTGTTCGGTCGAAGTCGCATTTATTCCCTGCTTTCTGGGAATTCTCCGAATCCGTCTAAGTCCACGCGTGGCGGTACGGTCGAAAATGGATCAAAAAGAAGCTCCCCCCGCGCGAAGTTCGCTAAGAACTCCGCGCCGGGGGAGGCACCCGTATCCCTAAGGATGACGGTTGGGGTGAACCGTCGTTCGCCCGCCTCGCGTGTATACGCGGGGCGGTGGACACCTAGCGCTACGAGGAAGCCACGGTTCCCGGCTACCGGCGGGTTTCCCAAGCCCGCCGGCACACAGTGGTCTGTATTGTAAATTAGCTTACATTAATTAATACCTTCTTAATATGAGTTAAAAAAATTATGTTAAATATAAATTCTAATAGTTTTTAACATGCTAAATCCAAATTTCTTATCAGTTCTTAAATCAGCCCCTAATTAGGGGTAAAAATAGCTACTTTCCTAAATTTTCATAAAAATTGTATATTGAACATCAATTAATTTACATGTTCTAAGGGTGTATCCAAATATAATATTCATTCTTAATCAACCACTAGTTATGGGTAATAGGGGATGTTATTAATTTTTAAAATTAAATTAAATACATTTATCAATATTTAACATTGTAAGTAATATAACTATAAAAAACTATGTTAACAATATATTATAGTAACGTCACTATCACATAATGTCACTATCACTATCACAATCACTGTTCAAATTTGTTTCGTCTAACTGCATTGCATTCAATAACGATTTAGCTTCAATTGATAAGTCTTGTAATATTTTTTTTGGAAGTAATCGTATGGTCGATATTAAAGGGTCGGATGATATCAATAACACATGTAAGAGGTCTTCGTTAGTGTTTATTCTTGAATTTTTTCTTGTGTGGTGTCTTCTGTACATTTTGTAATCTTTATTTCGAGATTCTTGGGCCTCCTCTGATAAATCTCCTAAAAAAAATTTTAAATTTGCTTCATTATTCAAAAAAATAAAAAAAATAAAAAAAAATATAAATACCTATCGGTAAAACTGCATAACGAATAACATCAGCACCGTGTATTAATATTTTATGTACGCTAGATGGCATATAAAACCAGGGATATAAGGAGACAAAAAGTTTAGCTGTTTGTACACCATACTCATCAAATAAATCTGTATCAATATCTTGGCCACTTGCCATAACCATTAGAATATTTTTAAAACGTTCAATCAGATTTAAATTAACTCCTGTGATCTCTGCCGATTTCTCTGCATTTCTGAAAAATTTCCTAGCAGTATTTCCATCATTTGTGGTCCCGTGTCCTATAAAAATAACGATTACACCAAATAAATAGTTTTTAGGAAAAATAAAAAATTAGGTTACAAAAATGTATGATTACCTTGCAATACCACATCAACTAATAAGCCCATCTCTGAACGAAAATTGTTCTGAATCTCATTTTTCCGTGCTTTAAATGTTTCTTTATTTTCAACTGTTCTAACCTATATATTCCAACAATTAAATAATATATCTCAATTATATTACCTATATTGTCTAAATCTTTATCACTTATATTACCTGCCAACATTTAAATGGTAAACGATACGATATGTGTATAATACACTCAAAGAATCGTATCCACGCGTGTAAAGTCGATAAACCAAACTTAAAGTTCTGTGGATTTACTTGTCTTCTTTTAATTATTTCGACGTCATTGAAACTTTTTGGAGTGCCACCACATATATAACATGATTGACTGGATGTTCCGGTCATTGAATTACATACCTGTATACATTTTAAAACAAACCATTATACATTTAATATAGTTAAGTGAATTATAGTACACGTTTTACCTTTCCATCAACCATTGAAAATATTAATGTGTGTTTAATTTGCAGAGTTATGTTATCCAATAATATTTCTGTGGGCAGTAAATTATTGATTTCAATTTCAGTAGCATTAACTTCTCTCAATGTGCTATCGACTGTTTCCTTTTCAAAATTAAATTTTATTGGACGACAAAAGCGCGTGGACGATGTTCTAGGGTTCTGCCATACCACTATATTTTTTTCTTGTACTAAGCAACGTAACTGTATAGGTACCAATGAAAACATGAACAAGTCATGGTCAGTTATGAATGATGTAGCACCGTTATTAAAGTTTTGTTTGTACTGTGCCTGGCCACTGCTACCATCACACCCCCATTTGTACAACATTTCAAACTGATTCATATTTTCTTTTATTTGCGTTGACTTGACTGATTCTATTTCAAAAATTCGGTGAACCGTATGGTCAAGGAGGTTTTGCATAGGAACCGAACAACTACTTTCAGAAATATGCAAATTATCTGGATAACATTTTTTTTTTGCCTCTAGAATACTTGCATACGGTGGGTATATATCACAATTTTTTTTCTTTGCTCCAAGTCTTATATTTAGGTATTGTTGTTTGGTTAATTTATTTTCGATTAAAAAAGCCAATGCTTCATTGGCAGTATATGTAATAATTTTATTATGATCTACGTTGGTAATTGCATTTTTAATTTTAGTAGCTCTTGTTGGTGATGCCAAAGAATCATTTAGAAGTAAAGCAGCACTTCTTTTTCCCGACTTTTGAAATTTGGTTGATAATGCCAACACTAATTCCGGCGAAGAATATGATTTAACAATAGGTAGTACTTTTTGTCTTTTAGTTCTTTCAGAACATTCCGAAAATTCTTTTGACGGACGACCTGTTTGATTTTTATCATTATATTTTGTACATACATTATTTACAGGTAAGTTAAATATTGTTTTTAGCCATGCACTGTTATTTTTATTAAAAATGTGAATATTTCTATTACATTGTATCCATTTTCGTGATAAAACTATTGTATAACTATTTAAGCCAGCATTTATTTTATTTGTGTACTCAAGCATCCAATTTTTCCCATCATACTTCTCACATAACTTTTTAAACAAAAATTCTCTAGACTGTTTGGACTGGGGATTTAGTGGTCCGTTATCTCGTAATAAATTAAATAAATCATTGTAAGTGAAATTCTGATTTCCCAAATCACGACTACAACTCGCTAAAATAAAATAATTAAAAATAAAATATTATTATTGAAACGGCTTTTTTTCCTAAATTTTCTAACAAGATATTACACTTTTGAAAAAATTATTCCAAGTTAATACGCAAGTATATGCAAAAAAATTATATTAGGTTAAACACCCAAGAGTATGTAGAATATTATAGAATAGTTTTGTAACAGTAATAATTAGTAATTTATTAGTGATACCTTTTTAAGTTCTAATAATAACAATTAACCATAATAAATAAAACATCGTTTTATCAACTACATCATAAAAAACATAAAAATAATATTATTAATACACTTACCTTCTGCAAAAATGTCCATACTTCAGGTTTCAAAAAGAAAAATTATAACTTAAGTACATGCACACCACACAGATCGCTAAACGTGAAAGACAGAATAATGCGTGGTATGGCCTCGTTGACCGACATTTCTGTTCCCTAATCGTAATTTTATTGGCTTCATAAGATATAACAGTTTCTCATAATATGAAATATTGTTTAATTAGGTAATCAGTTTTAATAATTTGATATCAAATAATACAATAAACGTACTTTTAAAAATAGGTTTTGGCAAGCTAATTTACAATACAGACCACTGTGCGGCAGCGAAACCACAACACCCGGCGAAGCGGCGCAACCGTCGCGGGCCGCAAAGCGACACGCGACGGGAGTCCGGTCCGCCCGCAGTGTCAGCGAGCTGGCCGGGGGTGCGGCCGCAGACGTATCTTTGGACACCATGCGATTGCACCAGGAACGGGCGCGGGCGCCCTAGGCACACGCGCACGTTCCTTTCCAACGAAAACCCGGCTGTGGTTTCGCTAGAACACTTGGTGGACAGTCAGAATAGTTTTGTGAATGAGTTGAATGGTTAGAAATAGGTTAAATAGGTTGGAAATGGTCAGCTAATCTAGTACTTGATTCTCCCAAAATATCATCTATTATATCTAACATTTTACGCTTGAATTTCCTCATTTGGATGTCGGTAATTTGATTTATTTCAGGTAACATACTTAACAGAAACTGTTTTCTATGATCATCTTATTTTTTGGAATTTTGTTTTTTAGTATTAATATAATCAATGAAACATTGATCTGCCACATCTGAAGTCTTTTTTTTCTTAAAATTTGGAGTAAATACTTGTTCGTTGCTGGATTTATTCATGTTTAAATTTTCTGCAGTCGATTCAAATCCATTTTCTTCGGTGTTTTCAACTTCATCAGCTTCGTTAAATTCATCGTCCATAACATTCGGAGGGGAAGGAAGATTTCCCGGACTATCTACACTTCTGACTCCTTTAATATACGGTAAAATAAACTGCATATGTTCAGTCATGTAGTATACCTTACAATCTTTTCTTCAGGAACCACTTGGTAGTTTTTGTCTCCTTACAAACACTGTAAGAAGGTTCCTCCATTTTTCTTTGCAGTTTTCCGCTATAAACAAATTTATATCGTAATTAATATTAATATAATAATTAGAGCTCGCTCTAAAATGTCATGACATTTATTTTATAATGAATAATATAAGTATTCATACAAATTATAATATTTAAAAAATGATTTTCAGATACAGGTTGCAATTTTAGTGCCTTGGCATTTTATTTTGCGAGAGGTAATAATACTATCAGTAAAATCGTTGCTGTCACAACAAGAAATATATGGGAATGTTTAAAAGAACTATATATACCAGTACCAACTGCTGAAAAATGGAAATCAATAGCTGACAGATTTCAAGATCTGTGGAATCTTCCAAACTGTATAGGTGCATAAACAATTTTAATATAATATAATAAAAAAAAATGGCTATATTATAATGTACTATAATATTTACCACAAACCAGGGCTTGCAAACGTTATAATAACGTTATGATTATAACGTTATATTTGATAAAAAACGATTGAAATTTGTAAACGTAATTATAACGAAAAACGATAAACATAAATAAATAAATAACACAAAACAAAACGTAACGTTTAACAAAATATATGATATATCATTAAACAAAACATAACGCAAAACGGTATATATTGTATTCCATTAAATGAAATAATTAATTTCCAATTATTTAATAATACTTAGTATTATTCAATTATTTATTCGATCCAAGAATTAATTTTATCCCGTATCCGGCCTATCCGGGAGATCCCGTATTAGATTTATTTAAAATTTAATAAGAAGGTATTAATAGAATAATTTAATTACCAATAGCTAATAATAGTGATACTCTGATAATATTGTACTGTACTATCTGTACTACGGTCGGAATTTATACCATTCAAGTTATTCAACTACTGTGTTCGGTGAGGTACATTTCCCCAGCCCCCCCAATTTCGAATTTTTATTTTTTTTTTTTACCATTCGTTTGTAGCCGGTTTGTATTGGTTTGTAATCAAATTTTTTTCGTTTGTAGAGATTTGGTTTTTTTTTTAAAAATAAATTTTGGTGGGGGGGCTGGGGAAATGCCCTAAATTGGAATTTTCATTTTTTTTTTTTACCATTCGTTTGTAGCCGGTTTGTATTGGTTTGTAATCAAATTTTTTTCGTTTGTAGAGATTTGGTTTTTTTTTTAAAAATAAATTTTGGTGGGGGGCTGGGGAAATGCCCTAAATTGGAATTTTCATTTTTTTTTTTTTACCATTCGTTTGTAGCCGGTTTGTATTGGTTTGTAATCAAATTTTTTTCGTTTGTAGAGATTTGGTTTTTTTTTTAAAAATAAATTGGTGGGGGGGCTGGGGAAATGTCCTAAATTGGAATTTTTATCTATTTTACAATTTATATTCAACAAGGCTTTTAAAAACCATTTTTAATAAAAAAAAATCTAATTAAGCCTTGTTGATTTTAAACAAATTTTGATAAAAAAACAGCAATTTAATCAACAAGGCTCTTTTATTAAATTTAGATTTTTTAATAAATTATGTTTTTTATCTAACTGTTTTTTTATTCAGAATCCGTCTTTTTATTCAATTTAGATTTTTGTGGGGGCTGTGGAAATGCCCTAAATTGGAATTTTCATTTTTTTTTTTTACCATTCGTTTGTAGCCGGTTTGTATTGGTTTGTAATCAAATTTTTTTCGTTTGTAGAGATTTGGTTTTTTTTTAAAAAAACAAATTTTGGTTGGGGGGTTCTTATAATTTTCAAAGACTGAAAAGATTAAACAAAGTATGTTACCTTTATTATTAATTTTTAATATTATACTAATAGTAATAAAACTAGAATTTTTAATTTTTTTTAAAAAATCAACATCATATTTTGTTGTTTACTAATTAGTTATGTTTTAAAGGCTGTCCAATGTCCATCGATGATTTTTGAATATAATATTATTATGTAATACAAATAATTGTTATTTAATTGTACCTAATTATCAGCCACTTTAACAAACAACATACTAGCATTCTTTCAATAGTTACTACTTTGGTCTTTTTTTAAATGAGGTTTTATTTATGATTTATAAATATATGTAATAACAATCAAGTTGGTTTATTTTAAATTAGAATTTAATAATTATATATGTTCTCATCAGTTATTATAATACCTTTTATTGGTTCGTGTTTCCTTATTGGAATTTATCATGTATTTTATTACCTATATAATATAGTATATTAGTATCATTGATTTATCCTTGTAGCGTATCTTATAACCTGGCTTAGGAAATTTCGCAAGCAGTATATTGCAGTGTTGGTGAAAGACGAAAGTAATTAAGTTACTATACTTGTTACCTAGAGTTAAATTTAATAATGTTACAGTGCTCATTACTATAATAAAATTGGATGAAATCGCGATGAAAAGTAACTATCCTGTTATATAAAAAAAAAAAAAACAATTATTTTTTAAATTAAAAGAAGTTTACTGTCGTCTTACAAGTAATACCTACCTAATTAAAAATGCATTTTAGTAAAATCGTAGAGTTATTGAAAAAAAAATACAAACAAAATATTAACTTTGAATACACGATACCGGCATACGGCTGTCGACTGATGGAACGACACCGAAGACGGAATAACAATAAAATTAGAAGCTACTAATCGTGTTATTAAATATTACCTATATGGCTATATAAAAATAAAATCTTATAATATGTCAAATGTTTATACATGATAACCATAATTTATAATTTATAACGCTGCAATGTAAATATCCTATATTTATTATTAATCAGTAGGTACCTACAAGATAATATCTACCTATGCTGGATATTCACAGGAAACGTTATTATTGTACCTTATTGACGTATTGACGTATTTAGAGAAATTTAATTAACTTTATTTGTGATTTACAATGCAAGTAGACCTGTCTCAAATTAATTAGTTTAAATTAAATATATTTCTGTATTATATTGGTATATTTAAGTACTGTACTGTTATTTATTTTAAGAATCCCAATATAGGTACCCATATTTAATGATCTAAAAATAGTATATTCATTTTACTCATTAATTTATTGAAATAACGAAACGTTATTAGCTATCGAAAATCATTCATTCCACATTCAGTCTCCTGGTAGGTATCATATGCATATAATTTTGTCTTGTTTTTTAATGCAAAAATGCCAAAAAAAGGAGTATTATCACGTGAAGTTATTATTGAAGGTGTCGTAACTTATAAGGATAAGTTGATCAAAGACTATGGATCGGGTAATAGTAAGTACCACTAAATGTATTATTAATATTAAGAAGATGCTTATTATTATAATTTCTATGTGTCATAATATGTAAACTATACATGTTCTGTATTAATTAGTCATCTAATAGATACAGACTGAACTAATATAAAATATAAGAATATTTTAAATACAGTTCCTTTAATGATTATAATATTGGTCGAAAAACATAATAATATAAGAGTACCTATATAATATTTTAATGGTACGTTTTTAATATAAACTAGGAGGTATATTTCGGCATTAGCATATTGGTATTCTATTTAATATTGTATAGTTTACTCACTATAGTTTTAGTTTTATTTAATTATATTTTAATGTAAACTGTTGGTCTTAAGACTGGCGTCGTATAAATAAAAAATTATAAATATTTAAAAAAAATTCTAAAAAATAAGCTACTTGACTTATATAAATGTTTTTACCATCGAAATTGTTCTTATAATCAGATTCACAAATTGGCTATTTTGAATTTATATAAAAATTTTAAATGAAATTTTAATTTTTTTATTTTCAGTATTAAAAATTTAAATAATTTTTTGTACATTATACGTGTAACGCGAGTGGCTATAAATTATATAAGTAAAAAAAAAAAAAAATGATAATTTTGTATATAGCAAAAGTAATGGCATTTGTCAGATCTCGGTGGGACACCCTGTATATAATGGTTATTAAATAAAGTTGAATAGAAATACTTAGACTGTAGTTATATTTATGAAACTAAATTAGAGGAGAACATTATCTGTGGAATATTGCTTTGAATTGTTCGATATTTTAATTTATATTTATAATATTATGTGTCCTGCGTAAATCTGCTAATAGTTAAACGGGGAATTTTAACGTCAAGGTGGCTGAGGCCTGTTCTACAATGCAACCAGCCACGTATCGATAAAAATAGCACTGACAATGTACCTACCGAATATTTTAAATAATAATTATATTAGTAAAGTATCTATATTAAAATAATGGAATTGCACTTAATCATATTCTAATAAAATACGATTGAAATAAATTATTCTCAGTATTTGAAGTTTTACGGGAAAAATATACTTATCTTTTTTCATTATTAAAAAACTTTCGGAGATCATACAATTTTTAAGAGGATATCAGCGCACTATTTGTTTTCTCGCCCTGATTCTGCGTAAATGCGTTTTGTCTATATTGAGCGTGGGCCAGAGAGATAAAACAAATAGTTCGCAGACTTCCTTTCAAGTCTTGGAATGTAAAATGTATAACGTTATGAATTTATGATTATTACTTTTAAAAATATAGTATTAAAGATATGCGTGCTCAGGATTTTGTGTCGGGTGCAGCATACATTTTTAACCGGCCCTAAACAACAATAAGCTGCCCACTTATTTAATTTATATAGCCCTTGAATAGTCCCCCTGAATGCTGTTTAGCCCCACAGTGTAAAAATGTAATGTAATATATTTATGTAAAGTTGAACTTCAAATAACTATAAAAAAAAATTGGTTTATATTAACTGCTTACTGACCTTTTTTAAATTTTTAATCTTTAGCTATATAATTTGAACATTACATTTTTTTCGAAATTTGAAATTTTAATACTCTTGACTATGTATTTTTAATATTTTTAAACTAAGATTGAAGCAATGTGTGAGAAGCAGTTCATTAAATTTTCAAGCTTTTTGATTAATGAATCTTTTTATGGACAT